TAAATTCTTGCATCCGACAGTTTAAAAAAAAGAAAAAAAAAACTGCCCTGACAAATAGAAACGAATGTCATTAGTGTCATATGAGCTTTTTATGCTTTTAATACCGAAAATAAAAAATCTCGGCATGATTTTGTTGGCAACTGAATTGCTACCTTGACCCTGTCTTTTATAAGTTTGTGCCAGCCAGGTCATTTGATTGTCAAGAACACAAAAACCCGCACAAGGTCACAAGAGCAAAATAGAAATCGGAGCAATAGTCAAAAAAAAAAAAAAAACATCAGAGGAAAGCCTCAAAAGTAACAACCGTCGTCATTCGCACGCATACACAGAATCGCCAAACTTTACACTTGAGCAGTCAGTTTTCCTTTTCCGTTTCATTTCATGCTTTTCATGCGTTTCATTATGCCAGCTGTCAGCGACAGAAGTCGCGTGTGTAACTATGTATTTAATTTTTCACACCATTCGCAATGCGATGCACGTACGACGCTTTTACTTTTACTTTTGTTTGCCTTCCTATTTTTTCCTTTTTGCCATTTGCGGGCAAACAACACGAGAGCGCACGCTTCTGGACCCAAAATGATATGCGGCAGGCGCACTTTTTATGGCTCATTGAGAGCAGACGACGGCAAAGGGGACGATCGGAGCGTATCAAAAAAAATTAATTTTAAAACCAGTCAATTAGGTTCGATATTGAACAAAAAAGGCGGCCGGGTGCGCAAACACCAAACGTGCCGACGAATTTGTTGTGGGTGGGGCTAGCCGGGCAAGAGTGGAAATGCGAATGGGAAAAAACTGTTGCCTACATTACGGGGCCAACTGCAAACTATTTTTCATAGTCCAATTAGTTGTTGGCGTTGTTGTTGTTGTTGTTGCTGTTGTTGTCCTTGCCACTCTGCCCGCATTGTGTCAACTTGTCAGGCAGCATTCCTTTTGTATTTCACTTGATTCGATTTGTTGTCTTGGCTCCCCAAAATGCATAATTGATTGATTGTTTGTGGGTGGGCTGGGGTCCCATTGTGGCTTGAATTTCGAGAGTCTGCAACAGCCCTGACATACTGAAACACACATACACATACACACATGCATACATAAGTAAACGCTTATGTATGCAAGGACCAAATGGTACGACTAATAAATAATAAATCAGCTATTTGACAGTTGCTTCGTTTTTTATTTGCCGTCCATCTTCTTTGCCTGCCACTGAAATTAGGACGCAGGCCGCACTGAAATTTTAATGTGATTGATAAATGTCAAAGGTCAAGCTGCCAATGACGCAGCAACGATACCAATTTGAATAGTATTTATTTCAGCCAAGCCATATGTCACTGCTTCCTCCACATAACGAATAACTGCAATCCATTTCATGCTTCGTAATTTGTGACGGCATTTAAGTTAGATATTAAATCATGGTGTTGTACACAAAGGAGCCACAGCCCCACAACACACAGACAACACGCAGCTTCACATAAAGGGCATAAAGGCGCGCATTATGAAACTACTTACTTTTAATTTTCACACTAATTATGTGCGCCCAAGTATGCTACACAAGTGTTGACAATAAATTCTGCCCGGCATTAAAGCGCAAACTTTAAAGTAAAGCCAGTCAGTGGCACAGTGCTTTCAGATCTAAATAATAATGAAGCATAACAAAAATATAAAATTCAAATAAACAAACAAACAATCAAATCTTTCCTCTTTAGAATATTAGTATAGATAATATAGTCCAAAGATCAAGCTCTTAAAATTTAACTAATTAATATTTAATTGTATTTTTATTATTTAAACATGTTTTTTTTTTTATTACAAAACATTAGGTCGACTAACGAGTCCGATTTAATTAGGCTATAAGTATGAGCATCAGATCTCTGGGATTTCCCCACAATCCCAAACATTTTTGCAATTCAACAAATATTTGTACTTTATAAAAATTTCATAGCGCATAATAATTAACATTTTTAATTGATTAGTATATGACAACACAAAATTAAATATTTTTCAAATTAAAAAAAAAAAAAACTGTAATCTCGTTTGGAAACCATAAGAGCTAGAAAGTTAACTTTAACTCTTTTGTTTACATTATTTAGGCTTGGCACCACTGTGAATTGGCGGAGCAGCTACATTGAGGCAACCAGAGCCAGCAAGCGACAATTTGAGCCCATAAATTGGCACAAAGTAGCAACATTTTGTTGCTCTTGCTGTTGCTGCTGTTGCTGTTGCCGATGCCACTGTTCGCTGCTGTTGCATTGTCTCAGCGCGCAGACAGCCGTAAGCAATTCAACGGTTTTGTAGTTAAGCAAAAAATGCGCAACCCACACACTCACACTGACTCAGATACCCGCACATACACACACATACAAACAGACAAATGCCGAGGCGCCTCGCATTGCCGCAGCGCATAAAAGCCGCAAAATTTCATTTGAAAAGCCAAACCGGCAAGGCGGCAAGTTGTCGCGCTGCACCACAGCGGGTGGCGGGCTGGGCGAGGGAGTTGACAGGGTTTGCATTTTTGGTTGACTTGGCAAACTTTTGCGAAACAACTTGGCTGCCGCCTGATTTCCCGACTGCGCTGCAACTGTGAGCGCATTACAAAACTATTGCCTTTTAATGCGCCGGCTTTAGACTTTGTTGTAAGTACAACACAAGCGAGGCGCACGACTCTCTGCCATGGGGATGGGGGACGGATTTTGGGTATTGACTGAAGCATAATTTCAATTTTACAAATTTTATGCGCATTCTGCACTACGCATACGCCGGGTTGTACGGCCAATCAAGATGCTTCATCAATCAAACAGCTTTTAAACAACACTAACTAACATAAATTTCTTCTTTTTTTTAATTTCGTAATATGAGACACTAAAAGAATATATTCTTTCGAGTACTATACCACTGTTTAATTTAATTTGGTTTGGTTTGATAGCATATCGGTTTAAGAACAGCGACCACAGGTAAATTAAAGTAATATCATGAGATTCTTCTTTAAAAGACCTATTAGTAAATGATCTGTTCTTAAACATTTTTTTATTTTTCTTCAACATTTTTGATTTTCCCCTTAAAATGCAAAACTGTGTAAAATAATAACAATAAAAAAATAAATATAAAGCTGAATAAATCAGATCGCTTTAATTTTAGTTAAGCCGTGTTGTGACTTTATTTAAAGCAATTATTAGAGACACTCAGAGAAAAATATAAAACCAAGAAGTCTGCATTGTTAACCACTTTTAAGTAATTCTTATGTTAGTTGACATGAAAAATTAATATCAATATGACTTCAAAAAACGGAAAGTTGATTCACATATAGTACTCTATAAAAAAGATTTATTGTAAGATAATTCGAAAAAGTCTATTAATAGGACTTTTTTTTTGTATTTTTCTCAAGATATTGCAGATATTTAAAAAGATGCAATCAGACATAAATTGTTTATTTCTAAATTGATTGAAACTAATTAAACCGTAGCTGTGGTTTTAAACCCAATCTTCAGATTGTATTACAATTATGAAGATGCTCTGAAAGAAAGTACAGCTTTTATAAGAAATCAGTTGTACTTTATACTTTTGTTTTGTAATAGAAGTATTCGAATCTGGCTGCATAGTGTAATCTACGTTCAACTTTTTTTTTTGAGCATTTTCATGCATGAAACCGCATTTATTTGCACAATTTGCAAACATTTCCCACAGCGGGTCTCAAGTAAAATTTGGGCTTTGATGTGCAGCACTATCTGAGGAGCAGAATTTTATGATGTGGGTGCAGTATTTTCTCTCTACATTAAGGACTGTAGTTCAGTGCATCCTGGTCAGATAGATGTGGGTACGTGTGTGTAGTCGGCATCATTGAATATTCTCTTTTTGGCCATTTGGTCATTTTCTATTCCATTGACATTTTAACAAGTCGCTTGTGTGTGTGTGTGTGTTTGTATGTACATATGTTTGTAGTACGTATGACGAGTAGCCTGTGGCAAGTTTATATAGAAGACGATGCATTGATTTGCCTTCTTGGGACAGTCAGTCGCTTTACATTTGGCCAATCAACAAATTCATTTATGCTTTTGCTTGGCGCTCCTTTTGCATAATAAATGGAGAAAAAATTCGTTTGCCATAAATTTGTGTGCCAAATGTAAAAGTTTTTATTGCTCCGAAGTGAAATGCAAAAATTGTGTTTGTACATACATGCTTGCACTGACTGCTTAGTCATGCGTAGTGTATGCGAAATTTGCTTGATTAGTCAAAGAGTTATATGGGCAAGAGTACCTACCTAGTAGGTATGACAGCTGCTGCCGAACGGAAATTCGATGATGCGGCATGTTTACAAGTATGTATAGCCAAAGCAACCATGCTATAAAAATCAAGGTACAAAATATTGCAAAGATATTTGCGAAATTAAATTAAAATATGAAATTGAAATGTAACAATATGGCAGACATATTCGACTCAAATATCAACAATTTTATTTCAACTTTACACAGTATTTGGTTTTAGAAGCGCACATTTTATGTAAACAGGAAATATCTTTAAAAATGTGAAGCTTGGGCTTAAAGATATAAGCAATAAGTTATGTTTGCACAGGATATCGCTTCATTATGCTTCCCCCACAATTGGTGCATGCAGTCATCGAGTAGATGAGCTGTAAAGAAGGTTTTCCACCAACTCTTTGAAATCAGCCACATTTGAGAATTTCGGTTTGGAGTTTCACTTGTCTTAAATAAACTGTGAAGTTTATCTTTATCCAATTTAATGATTGTCCATGATTGACAGTTTTAAATAAAATACGAAAAAAAAAAAAAACTTGTCTTAAAAGATGTTGAGCCCAATAGGAATCCCAGTGATGTTAATGCACATCATTTATAGAAGCTTTCGTTGCAGAAATCATTTTTATTTCACTTTTTGTTGTTAACATTCGTTACCTGGATGTTTATTAATTTGAAGTGTTCGCATATAAATCGTTTAATGGGCGTCGGAGAAATAAAACCATTATTTTAAGATTTTTGAACTACACACACACTTATTTAGAGAAAGAACTTAAGGATCTTGCTTCCCAAATGCTTTCTTCTGCACTTCTCGTGATCCATAATACCACCGGATGTGGTCCACACTACATAGCCGAACTGGCGTAAAGGCAACAGATTGTTGGTCCATTTCTCAATATCATTGATCGGCCCAATGAAGCGCGGCGCCCGGTGAGGTTGACACCAATCATCGACAATCTCAGATTCTACAATGTAGCCGTGCTTCTTCATCAGAGTCAGGAATTTGATGATGACTTTCGAGCAGGGACGAAACAGAACTTGACGCTTGGCACGCTTCTCAGCATTCTTGATGCACTGCAAGGCACTGGCCAATACGTTTACCATGGCTTATTTTTGTGATACACATACTTCGAACATCCCCAATTATTTTTTTTAATTACTCAAAAATATAAATTATGAATTTGATATTGAAAAATTTTTTGGTTATAAAATTTAACAAAAATTAATGTTGATTAAGTCTTAACAAAACATTGCATGTATAAAAAAAATGTTAAGAAATACAATACCAATTTTCGTCTTATTAGTAAGATCAATTCATATTTTTAATATTAAATTAAAACAACACTATATAGTATTTGAATGGCAAAAAAAAGAAAGTTCATAATGATTTATGATATGCATTTAATTAAAAATTATATGCAGAAATATTGTACCAAGTATTTCAATAAATACAGCTAATTTCCTACTTAGTACCTTTAGCTTTTTTATTACATTTTACATTTCCTTTTTTCAAAACTCTTTCATAGTCTAAGAAGCCCTCACGACAAGCATACGTCCCATCTTTTTGTACATTTCCCTTACTCCACTTTCAACGTATTATTCGATGTGTAAGAGGTATCAACTCAGCTATCAGGTTCTCCACTTTACACAACCAAATTGACAGCCTAAAAGTTCGTTTGCAACTTTAAGCCGTTTCACACATTGCGCATACGTCATGTGTGCCGCTTTGTTGTTCCGTTCATGGCTGCTTAGCTCAAGTTGTCAGCTGCGCTTGTCTACTTTGCATATGTGCGTATCCGTTTTTACTTGATTTCACAATTTACACCCCCTAACTGGGCGGCAAGGAAGTGAAAAACAATGTAATAGAAATTTCATAAACTTTGCTACGTACTTTCGACAACTGCAGAGTAACGCCTTTTATCTATAAGGATTTGGCGTAAACGCAAACGGAAAAACTTTTTTCGGTTGCATGCTGCGATTTTTTCTGGCCTCTCCTTTTATTTTTTTGTGATAAAGGGCTCCTGCTCGGGTGTGGGTCGGAAAATCCACTTAAGCTGCCTGCAGATTTCGTGTGCGCGCCTTTTTGTTTTATGTTTCTCTGCAGCAGCGCCGAACATTTTTATGCTTTCAGCGGCAATGGTGACTGCGGCAGCGACGCATTGCATTATTTCAAGTTTGGCGCAAAGTATTTAAACCATAAAAATACGCTGTCTGCTTGCCGTTCGTTCTTCACTTCCATATCTATAGTATGTCCATGTCTTTTTTGGCGCATTTACACGGCACTCACTCACTTACTCCCGGACTCGGACGTTCCATTTACTCTTCTCACACCCAGAGATTCGATATAGCTCAGTACGGGTTGGCCATAAAGTTTTGCATTAGTCGCAAGCGTATTTAACCAAAGATTTATTGGCGGATTGCTTCTCTACATGTGCCAGCCATTACCGACTAGCCGCTTAGCATTCCTTAACCCCTTCGTGCATCGTAATCGCAATTTAGGCTACTTGCGCACAGTTTATCATTTCAAACACGTAAACTAAACACACATCTTCCAGATAAACTAATAATAAAAATAACAACAACTAGCGACCGACAATATCAAGCACTCACACTATGTTATACCCTGCAATTTACCTGATGGGAAAAAGTTAGTGCACTGTTTATCGAATTAGAGTCGAAGAAATTTCTACTGAAGCTATGATCATCAGTTCCACACAAACAACAGCTACAATGATACCTTGTGTGTAAAAATATGAATATATTACCAATTCAAGCAAATAAATAAACATTCATTAGGTAGTTTCCTTCATCACATCTAAAACCGGCATTTGATATTTCTGGATATGATAATCTCTCTTTTTAATGAGCTCATTTGAAAAATAAGCTCCTATTACAACAATTTAAACAAAAAAATATGAGGAACATAAAATCTTAAGAAAAAGAAAACAACGCAACTAGATTATGAATTAATTTCCTATTAGAACATATTCAAAGTTCTACAATCTGCCAACTGCCATTTGATATTACTAAAAGGTTTTGATAAATAAAGTATCACATCTGTTTAACTTTATCTTTAACTCCTTAATTTAAAGACAAATGTCGCACTGTTCAAAGGAAATAATTTCAATGAGCTTGTTTGAAAAATAAGCTGCTATTAGTCTAGTTACAACAAAAAAGGTGAGAAACATTAAATCATAAGAAAAAGAAAGCAACTAGACTACAAAATTAATTTGTTATTAGAACATGTCCAAACAGGAACAGGAAAACTAAAGCCTCGAGTAGTATTCACAATTACTTGAACAGACTGCAATGCCTGATTTGAAAAGGTACTGGTATCACCTACTGGCAGCCCCATTATATTGCACATAATGGCATGCGTAACAAGTCTGACGTGCTTGCAACTTTGCTATTAACTAGCTATGACTGACAGAGACAGACTACAGCTCCCTTCTTCGCGCAACAAACACCCTGAAGTTACTTACTGTCTGCTGACATTTTTTATTGAACTTCTTCTTGTCCTTGTTGTTGTGGTGTCCTTGTCATTGTCACTGTTTCGTTTTTCATTGTATTACAAAATTTCAACTGCGTTGTGGGTTGCGGTCGACGGGCTGCGGGCTGCGGTCTAACGGCCATAAAAGGCGCCCATTACATTGATTTACATGCGCGTCATTGTCGTCGACATCGGCGTCGCTGCTCGTTGGTGGCTTCCCATTTTATAGTGGATAGTAAAAATGTTGCTTGTGGCAGTTTTATTAGCACGTTTTATTAGCGGGCACTTAAAATTTTGTCAGTTCCATTGAACGCCGAGCGTTCAGGGGCGTAAGTTATTTCCATTAATTTTGTTTAAAAAAAAAAATAAAAGCGAACTTAAGAATCTTATACCACTTTGTGTGAGTATTGAAAATCTCTTCGACTAATGAACTGACTATTAGACTATGGATGGGGGTCTGTAAATTGTATATGCATTATTTAGTCAAATGTAAATATTATTAAGGGTACCAAGAAATTTACAGGGTCTCTATTAGAAAGAATCTTCGGAAGAATTCAAGATAAGCGGTCTTCGAATCTACTGGTTTTATATAAAATGAGTAATAATGAAAATTTCATGGCACAAAGACATTAATTCGAGAAATGATTGATCCAGAAATGATTGATGATCACTCTTAATTAATAGTTAACTTAATTAACTTTTAGTTTATTATGATATCATCATAAATTCTGATATTTATCTTATTTTTTCAGAACAGTTTGCGTATGTTTTCTTTTAGGAATCAGTTTCCATTATTCTTGAATTTATTTTGGATTTATAAAAGCTAATCATTTCAAAACTAATTTTTTATAATAGTGCAAAATATTTCATTAATTTGTATTTAATGTAACATTGATGTTAATTCAAGATAACGTTGATTTGATTGCATGTTTTAAAAGGCAATTAAATACTTATTCAACACATTAAATGATTTATAGTGCTGGAAAAGGTCTGCATAAAACGATGGCAATACCAGTACCAACAATTTACTGAATCTTTACTGTTGTCTTTACTGTTGTACTCGTATGTAACAATAACATACACAGACGTGTCCTCACAATTCAAGAATTAATTTTCGCAAAATTTGGCTAATTTCCTTACTTTAGCTTTGTAGTCAAATCAGCAGATTATCCATCGAAGCTTTTATTTGTTGCTTCACATCTTAATTTAATTATTTGCATTTACTGGCCAAGAATTTTGAAAATAAACTACATTGAGATCATACAGCTTGTCGCTTGATTCTATTAGTGATTAACGTTTTTGAAAATATATAACTGGTTCATTCGTATTAATTATTTAACTTAATTTATTAAGCATTATATGCCCCATATATAGCCAAACAGTCAAATAAAACTCCACAACGAGTTGGAGTCGTTTTTAAGTTCCTTGTCAACCTTGATTTATCATGAAGTGTTAGGCTACTCAATATGTAGTTAGTAGTGAATTTTAATTATTTTTTAAACATCTTTACATATTTTAATAAGTATAAAGATGTGCAAGGCTCCCAAAGTTTCTAAACTGTGAAATAGTGGAATGGAACCCCTACATTTTTTAGTCACTGCAGCCCTCGCAGTCTTGCGGTGGTTTTTATCGGATTCTTGGCTGCGTTTTGGTGCAGTTTTTGATTAGGTGTTTGAAAACTTCCTTTTTTGGGAGCTATATACAACTAGTTGATATGGGCACACGTCGCTGTATCCTCTGGCGTCTTCATGTCTACAACAATAGACTATACTCAATGCCTGGACTCTCCACACACGGCTATCGCGATTGGGGCCCTCGTGTCTACGCGTAAGTTGCAAAGTAGATACATACATATACATATGTATGTATATGTACATACATACATAAGTATGTTGGTATATGCATTGATTGGTAATGTAGTCCCGGTTTCTTTGTAGACGACATCCCGGAGAAGTGCATCGCGTTATGAACTGGGTTAATCGCGATGTCTCCGTGCTAATCCATGACAACAAAACAACCATTCTGACCATTTTCGACTTGATTCTCAGTTTATTGCCATGCACCAGCATGAAGAGTTACGAGTTCAGGGCCGCTCTGCTCCCCTACTTCGAAGAGAAAACCCATCACTTCATCTACGAGCTGATCAATTTTGCGCGCTCCCCTTATGATGATCTAATAACGTACGAGTTAAATGTCCAGTACTGCTATGTCGATTTGGATTATATGTATAATGATGATGATGACGACGACGGTGATTCCTGCTGCACCTTGACGATTGATCGAGCCATCCAAAACGCTGATAAGAAGGTTTCAAATTTTGTCGAGTTCTCGCATTCATTCGACAACGACGACTGCCGCGGCTTCGAACTGCATCTTGATTTGGAAGACGATGACTCCGAAGCATTGGATGAAATGTCCGCCATGAGTGAGAAGCAACAAGCCGAGCTCATGCGAGCCCTTAATTCGGACACAACAAACCCACAGCCGCCTACACCTGCTGGTGCTAGTGCGGATGGTGGGGACTTTGAATTGGAATTGGCCATTGAGCGCAGCATAATAGAGAGTGGCGACAGTAACATATCGTCTCCCCGAGTGTACGTTATACCCAATCCTAGTTCAAATACAGCAACACCTGCAGCTGTTGCCACGTCGGTGAATGCAATTGGAGCGGCCCCTCAAACAACTTCCGCCCCATCAGTTGGCTTTACCGCCAATTCTCCGACCTTGGAGAATGAAAGCCAAAACGCGGATGGGCGCATCAGAAGACGTCGCAACGCCTTCTATGTTGCCAACGAGCGTTAATCGATATGGACTTGATGCGACCTAACCGATGGAAAATTGCTTGTTTCCTGTCCTAACTTTCTATGTCCTTATTAATGTAACAGTTATACCGATTACAGGTTGGACACGTTTGATAAATAAAGTAAAAGAAATAATAAATAAATAAATAATAATAATTTAATAAATAAATAAAGTAAAAGAAATTGACCAGAACACTTTATTTACACTATTTAATAGATATTTGATATATTCAGTGATTCGTTCACTCCCTCACCAATCTATAAAAAACTGACATTTGGACAAAAGCTTCCTCTTGTGCATCCCGAGACAAGACTTTGGATAATTAAACCTTCGCCACTGCAATAAAAGTTAAATACGGCAAATCTTTAAAAATGGCTAAAAATGTACAGAAGCCATGTGGGTTTTCATTTCTTTGCTTCAACGGAAATCAAATAAATTGTCCAATCACAAAATGTGAGTATTTAAATAATCCTTGCATTCTTTCCTTTATTTCATTTCCAGCCATTTTGCCTTTCCAGTACCTGTACGTCGCCAGAGCTAACTTTTTGTTTCACATTCTCATTCAGTTTAAAAAAAAATATGCACACTCATCTGGCCCTGGTCCGAGCCAGGCCCAGACAATGGCACATGGTAGCCATGCAACTAAAACGTGGGCAAAGCGGCTTGGTCACTTTTTTCCCCGCCTTTGAAGTGAGTTTTCAGCTTTGACCAACGTTTTGGACTGTCAATTAAACTGCACTCTGCCTTGACAAGCCGATGACGTTGACGTGGCCAAGCTTTGACGAGTTCCGCCGCCGCCGCCGAAGCGTTCGCCCCATCGTTAGGCACGGCATTTAGTGGCCAGAGAAGTGGTGAGGGAGTGAGAGAGAGAGAGAGAAAGCTTCGACAGAGCGGCAAGGATTCGAGTGAGGTCTTCATTCAGCGCAGGTGTAGCGGAAAATTGTGCCCTTGCACAGAAGCCGCTGAAGCTGCTGACGTCGTCGACGGGTCCTATAACGGTGTTGACCTTTTTTCTTTCCTTTTTTTTATTTCGTGTAGGCAGCCAAAAAAATTCTTTTCAATTCTGTTGGATTTTTGTACGGCGCACGCCTTTGGGCATTCGAGCAATTGTAATTAGTGTGAGATTTTGTAAGAGTGTATGGATGGGTGTATGGCTACGGTTAGCTTGTTTGTGTGTGTTGGGGATTTGCTTTGACTGTTTGTTGTAAATAAAGTGTTGCTTGCCATTTGGAATTAAATATAATTGAATTTGATTTGAATTGAAGCGACGTGCTTTATAGGCTTACATAGGTAGTTTGATTTTGGGCTGCCAAGGATTGCATGTTATTTGCTGGCATTTCCTGTCTATTTCACTTCCTTAAGGTCAGCTAAGTTCGGTGAACTGCTCTCGGCTCTCTGGCTTATTTGCCAAATATGAAAGGAATCATTGTTGACTTGTCCGCAACCAGGCTTCGAAATTTGATTTTATTTATAGAAAGTAAGGCAATAGATGGAAAAAAACCAATTGTATTTAAAAATTTAATGAATGGGTACAAGCTTCAAAAGTTTGATAGTAAATTTGTACATGAAATCAGAAAATATCAATTAAGCTTATAATTGAAAATTAAACCAAAAATATAAAACTTTTGCCACATACTAGCTGAGTGTGAAGGGTGGTGCCGCACAGGAAGACATTTACACAGACTCTGATATAATTGAAATTTTGGATTATCTTCAGTGTTATACTGAGAGCAACTTCGATAAATTGTTGTTCGTACGATAGTATTTGCCTTGCTTTAATAAGTATTTGAATAGGAAAGGTATTATCCAATTACTATTACAATATTAATGTACAATTATAGATCAAATGTTCTTTATTAATGGCTCGGCTGCTGTACTTTATTGATATTTAATGTATTGTCAAAAATCATGGAAAGAATTATTATTTATTTGCAACAACTTTATACAAGTAGTTTAGTTTATAGTTTTATAGTTCAAATGCTTCTTATTTATTGCTCAGCTGCTGAACTTTATTGCTATTAAATCAAGGAATGCATTGTTATTTACTGGCAACAACTTTAAATAGCAAAGAACAAGACTGCTCATCAATTGTGATTAACAAAATGTTTAACAGTCATACGCTACTTTAATTTTCTATTGCCATCGAGCCATTTAAAGCTTTCATGCAATACTTAACAAGACAAAACTACTTCTGTTACTCCCCCAAAAGATTCGGAAAAAATCCCAAAATAATATGTATTCATGCCCTAAGTGTTGATGGCGCTAAATAACTACGAAATTACGTGCTGCCACAAAGAAGGCCGCAGAAAAAACTCGTCGCAGTTGTGCTTATAAAATAAACTCTAAGAACCAATAAAACGCCGCAACTCCCGCGACAGCCATGCAAATAAAAACAAAGCCGCCGACAGCTGCAGCAACTACAGCCAAGGAGGCGGGGAGAACAAAGCATGCCGGACACCGGGGACAGGCGAAATGACAATAGTCAACGCGAAAAGTACCAACCGGAGCCGACCCTTGACTATGGCACCAGCGGCGACACTCTCGGAGCCACAGCCAGTGAAATGCCAGAGCAGCAGCTGCAACGAAAAAGAGGATGACGAGGACATGGACGATGCGACGGATGCCGGACGAGCGACGAGGGTGCATTGTTTATTTAAAAACTACTCCATTATGGGTGGCGCTGCTCAGCTTTATAAAAATGCAATTTCAGTGTGGCGAACATTGCTAAGGACACTTTATCTGCATTTGGCAAAGGCAGCAGTGACTGCGACGACATACAGTGGCGCTCACTGGATTTTTCGTAACGAAAATCGCACAATCCTGCTCTGTGAAGTTTAAGTACGAATGAAAGCTTGTGTGAAAAGATGCCATATTTATTATTCAAACAAAGATTGTTACATTATAGCCGACAATATTGCCAGTGGAAGCAACATTCAAGGATCACTCAAATCGGATTACAGTCATGGAGAAAGGCAATTATTTGTCTTCTTGTTTTATTTGATCGATGAAAATATTTCAATGGCCCAACTTTAAATTTTATCGCTGAAACAGCAGCTGCAATTTTTATTTCTTTTGTGCCATCGTACTATGGCGGCGGCACAGGAAAGTATAATCGCTTTCTGGGCGCTCGCTCTATAAATCCCTCGCGTCGAAACCAAAAACTTTACATTTGCTTTTGGGCAGCGGCAGCGACAGTGACGGCGGCGTCTCTACAGTAGCGCAAGAAACAAGCATATCACAACAACAAGAACACAACAAAAAAATGTCATGCAATGGCGTCGCTTGCGCGTGCCCAAGATGGCGGACTGCATTGTCCTTGGATGACGCTCGCTAGCCCTGGTGCGTGGGTGATGGCATGTGAGTGTGTGTGTGTGTGTGGGTGCGTGTGGGTGTGAGTATGCAGCGGCATAATGTTGATGATGAAAACGTGCGCATTGTTTTCAGATTTTCGGAATTTTAATTAAATTTGCATTGTTTCTAGTGGCACTTGACGATGGGGGCAGCAGTGGCAGTGGCAGCGGCAGCGGCGGCACCAAAGCCGCCAACGTAGTTGTCTCGTCGTGTCGTCGCGTCGCGCCGTCGTTGTCCAGGAGCTGCCTTGCCCCATCCGAATTTAAATAAGTTTCATATTCTTTTGTCTTTGGCAACGAGAGCTGTTGGTCTTAAATTAGTCGCTGCTTGTTAGCCAAGTTGTTCCTTTTTATGGAGACAAAAATACGATACAAAGGGTTAACAAGCAGCAATCATGTTGAAAATTTGAGCAAACTATGGGGTAATGCTAACTCTGTTCAGGTATCTGATTTCCGTTTGTCAACTCAATCAATACATTCGCCCAACTCATACATATGCAGAATATCTAGTATCACAATCATTCAGTCAGCAGTTGGCTAAAAAACTGAGGAAAACATGTCTCAGGCATGTAACGTATACTTTAAATCAAACAGTTGATGTTTTTCAAATTTTGATTTTCAAGCTTTTGAAAAACCTAACCTATTTCAATTTTTTATACGCTGTACCTGTTGGGTAAAAAGGGTATATTAGGTTTGTGCAATGTATCTAACAGGCAGAAGGAATCGTCTCCGACCCCATAAAGTATATATATTCTTGATCAGCATGACAAGAGAAATCGATCTAGACAGGTCCGTCCTTGCCGATAAACGCCTGGATTTCGGAAACTGTTGAGCGCATATTAACCAAACATGGATATAGACGCTCCTAGTCCTTAATCTATAAGAGTTTATTTTAATTTTTTGAATTTCCCTCGCTACAGAATTTCGTCAGTACTGTCCACATCTTAAAAAGTAATCTATATGCACAATCCATATGTATATACATTTATCTACTTTTGTTTAAAATATCATTCAAATCACTCCAGAATTAGTTGCACTAGCAAGGGTATCACAAAATTTAGTGCTCTAGATTACGCTAAAGCCCAATTGAAAAAGATTTTAACAAATGGTAAGCACTCTTTTCAAATTCATGACAGTATCCAAAAAAAAGAAAAAAAAAAAACAGTAATAGTGTGAACGCCGTCGCCGAGCATTAATCAATTTAAATTAATACAATGAGTCGTGGGCGATTTGATAAGCAGTCGCTGCCAACGCCGACACTCCACAAAATAAACGTTTCCTTTAATTATTTAATGTTCTTTTAGAATTTTTGTAAAAAAATGTATAAATTTTTATGTTCACTTTGGTTGAATAATTGCTTTATACATATATATGTTGTAAGTCGTCTATAAAATCTTAATAGCTTTCAAAAAAAATAATAATCTATACCAATATTATTAAGAGGAAAGACTTGATTGTTTGTTTGTTCATTTAAATTGAAAGAGGCTTCGAAACAAATGGGCCGATTTAAACATATATGCAAAAAAGATAGGGATCCTTACTAAAACGCAAAGACCCAAGGAGTAAAAAAATTACATAAAAATTCCGGAATAGGATGCTTTTAGTTTTAATTCATTCTCGAAACATTGTGTCACTTTAAATATTACTTGAAATATTATTCAGGGTTTCTCGAGGTAAGTACTAGCTGAATTTAACTATCCAAAAAGTTTAGTAAGTTAGTAGCTCTTATAATTTTTTAATTACATTTTTAACATATATAAAAATCGTATTAAAAAGTAAAATTTACACAAATAATTTAGTAAAAAGGCAGTTTAATTTTTTTTTATCATTTTAAAATGCTCAAAAGAACAAGAACGCACATTTTTCTAAGGCGAGGGCTTTTAAAACCCATAGAAAATATAAGGGTATATATATGTGTGTGTGTGTTATAACATGTATAATATTTAAAAATATTTGTAAATACCCATCCCATGCGTAGCAAGGGCGGGACGTTAGATTATAAATATGTTCAGATATAATTCCCAACCTGCCACGTTTTCATGGCATTTACATCAAATTTCACTCTCGAAAAGAAAGAGTAAACTTATTTTTGTTGAGTGTAAAATTTTCGATGGCAACGAGAAAGATAGCACCTCATTTATCAGCACAACAATTCTGTTTAATAATGCCAAACGTTGTCATACAGGGCTCTGGAAATCGTAGCGACTGATCTAGCACTCAAAAATTGCGATCATTGCCGCCCCTCAGTCGAGTTGAGGCCAGGAACGTGCGTGGATCCAGTCTAGTACGAGAACATTAGCATTCTGTTATATTCCACAAAATTATCACTGAATTTTGAAAGCAAAATGCCCCCAAAATGTTTGCAACTGGAGAACATCAATCCCAACTTCATAGCCATGGAGTATGCGGTGCGTGGACCTCTGGTTATTCGCGCTGGCGAGATTGAGAAGGAGCTGGAGAGGGGCATGAAGAAGCCTTTCGATCAAGTAATACGCGCCAATACCGGCGATTGTCAGGCCACGGGACAGCAACCCCTCACCTTCTTGCGCCAGCTACTGACATTAACATTGGAGCCACGCTTGCTCGACTCACCGGACTATCCGGAAGATGTTAAGAAACGTGCGCGGCTCATTTTGGACAGCTGTTACGGTCATTCGGTGGGTTCGTACACAGAATCGGCTGGTCTGGAGGTGGTGCGTCGACAAGTGGCCGCCTTCATTGAGCGGCGGGATGAATGTATACCCAGTGATTGGCAGAACATCTACTTGACTGCCGGTGCCACACCAGGCATCAAGAGCATCCTATCGCTCATAAATTGCCAGTTGGGTGGGAAGACGCCCGGTGTGATGGTTCCAATACCTCAATACCCATTGTACTCGGCCACCATTGCGGAGTATGCCATGGTTAAGGTGGACTACTACCTAGAGGAGGAGACTGGCTGGAGTCTTAATCGCAAGGAGCTCCAGCGTTCCTATTGCGAGTGCCAACAGCATTGCAATCCACGCGCCCTGGTGGTCATCAATCCGGGCAACCCCACCGGACAAGTGCTGACCCGCGACAACATCGTCGAGATAATTAAGTTCGCCTACGACAATCAGTTGTTGCTGCTCGCCGACGAGGTCTATCAGGATAATGTGTACGACAAGAACTCCAAGTTCTATTCGTTCAAGAAGGTCATGCATGAGATGGGCGAGCCCTATCGCAGCCAGGAGCTGGTGAGCTTCCTCTCCACATCCAAGGGCTATCTGGGAGAGTGCGGCCTACGTGGTGGATATATGGAGGTCATAAATATGTGCCCCCAGGTTAAGGCCATGCTCACCAAGTCCATCACAGCAGGTTTGTGCAGCAACACGATTGGTCAGGTGGCAGTCAGCGCCTTGGTTAATCCCCCACAGCCAGGCGAACCATCCTATGAGCGTTACGTTTGCGAAAAGAATGCCACGTTGGCTTCCTTAAAGGAGCGTGCCGAGCTCGTTCACAAGACACTCAGTGGCTTCGAAGGCTACAAGGTCAACCCGGTACAGGGCGCCATGTACATATTCCCCCAAATCGAGATACCGCCCAAGGCCATTGCTGCGGCCAAGGACAAGAATATGGCTCCAGATGCTTTCTATGCTTTCGAACTGTTAGAATCGAGTGGTATTTGCATTGTACCTGGCAGCGGGTTTGGCCAAAAACCAGGCACCTATCACTTCCGTAGCACGATTCTGCCACAGACAGACAAACTTAAGCTGATGATGGAGAAATTTCGGGTATTCCATGACGAGTTTATAAAGAAATACAAGTAATTGGCGAAGCCGTGGAGAACTGATCGTATTAAAGGCCTCCCAAGAATTTATCTACTACATTGCTATCTTTAAAATTATATGTACTCGCACTTGCTAATGGTTTAAACAAAAAACTCCGTGCTTTATTTATGCGAGTATTGAACGTTTTTATGAAATATACGATTCTACTATATATTATATAGTACCTTTAGATTATTCAAACATTGCATTGCATTGCAGAAAGGTTATCTTAAATCAAATAACTTTTACCCGCACCCTACTATGGTCTGCTAAGATCATATCTGGATGGAAGACAGTTTAAGATGCGGGTGCTCTGACCCGTCCCTGCACTTTCTCAGCCCCTTCCAAATGAAAGCTCCCCAAGTTCCCCAAGGCAGTGTGCTTAGCCGGCTGCTCTACTTGCTATATATTGCTGATCTACCCAGACCCAGTGAAGAACGTATGGATGAGCCCACATGTGCTCGTTTATCGATAAATGCCAACTCAACTAACTCAACTTTTTTTAACAACTTTTTAATACTTAAATATTTTATAAATTTTTACAATATACTATGTCTATTAATAGCTTCAAAAAATTGCTTAAATAATTTTCAATTGCATATGTACATATTTGTTTCCTTCTTGCCTTACACTTCAGCATATTTATGCACTTCGTGAAATATCGAGTTTTATGTATATATGTACTATATATAAAAAAAAAAAGGTTACCTTTTAAAAGACATATTATTGTCAAAGTTTGAGAAAAGTCAATCGAGCCAACTTCTCAAAGTCCATGCAGACGTTTTCAAAAATGAGAACTCCCCCTGAATGGAGCAAAGCTTGCAACCAGGCAACAAGCACAAAAAATTAAAATAAAAAAAACGCTGAGGAGCAGAGCTATTCAGTCAACGAAACGCCCAGACCCACGCACACTCGTTCGCCTGCCAGCCAAAACCTATCAGTTTACAACCAAATTATTAAATGTGACACTCGAGAGGCGCATACACAAAATGGCAGTCAAAGCTTGGCGCCGTGGGTCTGCGAAGGGTTGCTCATAAAAAATGCTAAACAAGTCAACAACATGCGCCGTACAGCCAGCTGTCAATAAATATGAAACTTCCAAAGCCAAAGTAGAGGGGCACAGAAATATCAATCATAATAAAAAATACATAAACAAGGGAAAGCAGCGGCCAAACAGACATGCAAGAAAATGTGAAATATCCTTGGTTTGTGTGTCAAAGGTCCGGATGTTCGTCCACTTCCTCCGTTCCCGCAAGGCACAAGTGTGAATAAACAAAGCAAGTGTGACATTTCTGTAGTCCTTGTGTGGTGGCACCAAGGACTGAGAACTGAGCAAATACTGGGGTGGTGGGCACCAGTGACAACATAAAATATGTTTGGCAGATTCGCCAACGCAAAGTAGCTGTCAATTGGGACTTTTAGTTGATGAAATGTCTTGGGTGATTTCTAAGTAAATAAGGAAAATGAATTTTCAAAAGCAGCGTAGGCTTATGAATATGGATTGGAGAGTGGATAAATGGAAATATTTGTGGATTTACTTCAAAATTATAAAACAACATAATGCACTAAAATATTTAAATGGTTTCTCTAGTTTAGATGACGTCACGATCAATCAAAAATCCGAAAAAATTACTTCTCAATCCCAGAAACTTCATTTCTATAATTTTTAGTTTACAAATATAAATACATATGTGCTTCAAATTAGACAGAATTTAAAAAGGGGTTTTAAATATTTTAGATATTATTACTTCTGAACAAAACATTTGAACATTTTTTTATCTTAATATGATAATATTTGACAGATTGTTTTATGTTGTATTCACAACTGTGGCAGTATTTTTTGTTATCTTGTTCAATACGAGAAATAATTCTAATATAAATAGATAAAAAAAATCAAAGAGAGGCCAAAACTAGTTTTCAAATTGTTGTATAACTTAAGTAAAATATAAAGTATTTACATAAATGTCCTTTTATCGGTCTCTGTCATTTAGATATTTGCACAAATACCGATATATTTGTAAATGTTATCGGTAATATTTGACAGATTGTTTAATATTGTATACATACCAGAATTAACTCTAACAAAAATAATAATTAAAATATAAAAATTCACTGAGATTGGGGCATAAAAGTCCTTTTGTCTCTGTCATTTAGATATTTGCACAAGTACCGATATATTTGGAAATGTTAGATTCAATTTGTCATCGCATATAGAGTTTATAATCAAAGTTGGCGCTGGGTTTTCAGTGAAAGCTGTTCACAGACGGACGATTTGTTTTTTCAATGAAATATTTTGCTAAGCAACAGTTAAGGCTCGTTTAACCGAAAAGAGATCAAAATGTTTATGCAGGTAATCTCAGAAGTGATTTCATAAGTCTAGTCGATATACATTCATCGCTGTTCGCCTTCGAGCAGATAACTTTGGAGCATACGACCAAGCTGCACCCACGATACTTTAGCAAGGAGCTAACGGGCCAGCTCATCGCGCAGTTTCATTTCGAGGTGGAAGGCAGTTGTGCTCCGCGTATTGGTTGCATTATCTGTGTGAAGCAGATCCTTAGCATCGGTTCCGGTGTCATACAACGCCTTGAAGGTTATGCCAGGCACCGAATTAGATATGAAGCCATCGTTTATCGACCCATACGCGGCGAAGTCATAGACGTGAAGGTGACGTACATCACTAGGTTGGGCATTTTTGCGCAAGCCGGTGTAATGGCTTGCTTCATTTCACAATATGTGAGTAGAGCCCACAGTTCAAGGAGTATATATTAATTGCAGCCACGTTTCAATTTTTTGCAGTCCATACCCTTGCACTATGAGTTCTGTGGATCCGCCATGCCCCCGTGCATGAAATCCAAGAGCGATTCATCTGGCATCCTTCCGAATGACAAACTGCGTGTTAGAATTCTGGGCACACGCACCAATACAAAATCAATTGTAAGTATTGAAGCGGATTTGGGATTCAAAATAAACTATTTTGGTTCTATGATGTATGAGTCAAGCTTTTCCATATCGCATTAGTTTCAGAATCAAATCAATTGTTTTTTCGCAGACCTTTCAAAAACCAAAAACTTTTGAATATAATCTTCTGATGCAATTGCTTACTACATACTAGCTGCTTGCAAAACTCAAAAGGCTTCCTTCGAAATATCTGGTCGTTAGATAACTGTGAGACGCTGCTTCTAAGCAGCAATAGTATATTTATAGCCAAGGGCGTACGCAGGGGGATACAAAAAATGTTGTCATATAAAGTCGACCACACATTCATTATTATGACGCACTATTTCGCCTTAAAATGGAACTGAGTTGAAGTTTTTTCATTGATCATATGCATAAATTATTATAGCCTGTACCCAAAGGGTGAAAGGCTATACTAGTTTTGTGCGCATGTATGTAACACACAGAAGGAGGCGTGGCAGACCCCACAAAGTATATATATTCTTGATCAGGATGAGAAGACGAGTCGATATAGCCATGTCCGTCTGTCCGTCTGTCCGTCTGACCGTCTGTCCGTCTGTCCGTCTGTCTGTATGAGCGCAAGGATCTCAGTAAGTACAAGAGCTAGGATAACCAAAATTGGTATCAAGGTTCCTATAAGCCCTAGGCAGAACGAGTTTGTTTATTTTTTCTGATACACCCCCCACTCCCCCGCAATTCGTATTTTTTCTTATAACTTCCGCAATTCTCGGAATTTAAAAATCAATTTTGGTAGGTACATCCAGTTAGTACTAATGTGTCCGTGTGCCAAATTTCATCATGATAGGTCAATTCTGAAGAAAGTTATAGCCATAAGTAAAATCGCTGCTCATGCGCTGCCTGCAGCTCTGTCGGCAGCGCTGCCCGCAGCTGTTGTTGTTGTTGCTGCTTTTGTTCAACTTTGTGCTGCATACATACACGCATATAAACACGCATAGGTACGTGATGTAAATGTATGCTGTTTAAACTGAACATAAACATGTATTCTAATTTAATTAAATTAATTATTTTAATTAATTCATTCATTCATTTTTTTTTAATAATTTAATTTTTTTTTAATTTTTTTTTTTTTAATTTTTTTTTTTTTAATTTTTCCTTTTTGTGGAGAGTACAGGGTATTTTACTGTCGGGACTGCTCGACTGTAGCGTTCTATCTTGTTTTTTAAATGCATCTTGCATTATTTAATCAAAATTTTAATTTTTTGGCCCCCCTTTGGTAAAAACTGTGTACGCCATTGATTATAGCCAATCCTTAAATAAGCTCGTAATTCCTTTTAAATCAAAAATATATGTTTAGCTGAATTAGTGTGCTTCAGTTCCCGAATCCCATTAACTTGTGCCGAATTGAATTCACAAACGAAAACAGACAAGGCTGTTTTGAATCTTAGCACATAATATGTACGAGTATATACTTGAACATTTCAATTGGCATTTATTTATCTATACTTGTACATAGCTCTTTGAACGGTTTGGTCTTTTTCAGTTCGCCACGGCTACACTGCTGGAGGACTTTTTGGGTCTTTTACGCAATTAACGTACCAGGAGCTATACATTCAGGTATGTTAATACCGTTGCATTTTCTGCAGCTGTTGGTTGCCTTTGATATTTCAACATATTATGTACAAACATATATATGTATGTATATATTCATATGTATTTCTTTGCAGGTGGCCATTTTGTAATAAAACAGCAGCCAACCATCACTCAGCGAACCAAACAAGCCGCGAACTTCTGACGCACACACACACACACACACACAAACACACACACTTACAACCACATAGAGGGAAGTGCACTTTAATTAACTCAAAAAGGCTTCCCAGTCATCCAACCAGTCATCATATTATTTACTACCCACATGCACTGCTGGCAACAACAAAACAAAGCGGACCGCTCCCTCGATCCACCATCCCCGCTCCAATCCACACACCATTCTCAGCTTCCCAGCAGACAGCGCTAATTAATTATGCGCTAGCTGTTGTTTTTGCCGCTGCAGCTTTATTTGCCTTCAAGTGGCGCGTGGCCACTTGGCCAGAGCAACAAATAGACCATAAACATGGTATTTTACAATAAATTTAAATGCAAAATGAAATGGTCTGTACCAAACGTTTTGAGGCCAAGTCATATGCAGCAGCATTTTGGCCTTTGTGCCTGGCCATATGGAATGGCATGGAATACGCTTAGAGGCCGGGAATTATGCTGGGAATGTTGATGGCCCTACTGTCCAGTTGGGTCAGTACCGAAAATTGTGTTAGAATATAGGGGGAAAAGGCTTTACAAAGGGCAAACGGGCTTTGCGCTAAGCCTGCACTTGGCTTTTGTTTTGCATTTCCACTTGTTTTCCTGTTTTTAAATTTCATTTTATTTGTTTATCTTTTCCTTGTCCTCGTATGCAAAACAGCAGCGCTTGTGCGCGTGTACGAGTATGGCGGGGGAGGAGGGGGGTAGGAGGGAGACTGTTTTCAGTTTTTCTACTTTATGGTAACTGCAAATGCATATGAAATTGAATATTTTTATGCCATAAACGTGCATATTGCTGCATACTTTAAGGCGCATTTCATATTTATTCAAATGTCCTGGGCTAGCTGTCTTGGCTTTGTTTTTATTACAGCTCGTCTTTTTTTTATAACTAACATCAACGTTCGGATAGTAAAATATTTTTATTTCCCACCAAATGTCTGCCTAGTTCGTGGAACTACCAAGCGAAATATTTCATCCATTCATTCATTCATCTATACACAATTATTTCAAAATGTCAACGGACACATACGGAGTACTGAATTAAAAAGTTCAAGTGTATTCTGTGACTAGAATCAGTTCCAATTTAAATTTCCACAAATCGATAAGAATATCGAAAGTCAAGCTGTTTCTGCGGTCAGCTGTGCAGACGTGGCAGCAGGTGTCATTTTTTAACCGCTTCCTTTAATCGAAAATTAATGGCATGATAATCCAGCTTCATTTGATATACATATAACGAACAATTTTTACTGGCTACTATGTTTAGCGGGACAGAATGCATGAATGGAACGTGATCGAAAAAAAGTAAAACTTCATTTAAATGAAAACTTATTGAATAAGAGAGTGTCTGCCGATTAATTACTATTTAAAATTTAGGTTAATTGAAACATATTAAAAACTTGTATAAAATTGCACAAATTTGATGAGTGTCTGTAAGATTCACAGACAGATATTTTATTTCAATTTATTTATAAATTGTTGAGTGAATTAAGCTAATTACAATTGCCAATATTTTATAATTTCTCGTTAATTTCAATTTTCACTAAGGGTCCTCTTACCACTGGTTGATCCGATTATTGATCACTAATAATAATTATTTAGCTATTCGATTCGATCACTACTTAATTAATAGCTGTTAATGATTAGGTAATTGGTGTTCCTACGCAGTCAGGGCATTCGTGCATAATATAATCGATCTGTTTAGATCGATCGAAAAGCTAATCGGTATGTGTGAACTGTTTAACTGATAAATATGACCAAAACCATTCATAGCTAATGATTATATAAATGAATGGGCTCACTTGAAAGTTCCATTACAAGAAACCAGCTACCACGAAATTCGATAGAATCGTTTCTGACTTTTTATTTGAGGAACAAAGCTGATGTTTTTGATTTATAATAAATAAATATTTGAAAATTACTAATTAGTAATATTTATATGGTATTTAAGAATACATATGATTGATTATTACGCAATTGGTAATGTGTTTTAAAGTGAGAGGACAAAATACCTCATATCCGAATAACATTACAAATCGGCCGATCCAATTCGATGTCCCTTTGGGACAATGTGATATATCGGATCGAGGATATGTTATGAATCAGTGTAAATCAGCGTTTTACTTAAATTTTAGCTGCTAATTTAATTTAAAATTAATTTTTGAAAAATTGTCGGGAAACCTTCAAGTTTTTCCTTCTGTATGCAGCGTTTGAGATGAGGCGAGAGAAAAACAATGTAAAAATAATGGAAGATCATCACTAGTCTCATACTATAATCTTAAAAACGGAACTCACAAGGCAAGCGATTGAAAGCCTTTAGGGCTTATCCTTAATGTAGTGTTGACCACAATTGGCCTGACCGAGCGATCCAACACCTTGATGTGGCCATAAAATGAAATTGATTGAAGTTTCGCATGCGCTTGCCCGCCACTATCTTCGCCTCTCTAAAGGCGGTAGTTGGAGTTGTCACTGTCTGGCAGTTGCCAGAGCCAAGAGCACTGGCACATGCACTTGATCCCCATCAGAGCTCTGGTAGCTGTGAACATCAATTAAATTCATTGCCAAACAAATATTGTACAAAGGAATTATAAAAGCAGGCAACCAACCATTCAGCCAGCCGCAGCTCTTGGACACATGTTCTGACGTTTTGTTGGTCTGTCTGCCAAACCAAAATACAAGCCAGAAAAAACCGGTACTACCGAATCTGCTGATGATGGCGACGATGCCGCTGCAATGTGTTGATTGAATGTGTTGCTGCCACTGGCCATACGCCGCTACCCATCCCATCCATGGCATCCATCGTAACCGTTGCTGTTATTTTTTGGCACTTTACATTGTGCGGCAAGAAGAAAAAGCGCCGACATTTGGTAAACAAAGAGCTCTGGCCGTATGTGGGGAGCAGTGCAAGTCTAGTTCACTGAAAGGTCGCCACCCGTTGCCGCCTTTTAAGTTTTTTATGTGACGCTTGATGCTGCAGCTAATGCAGAGGGGACATCTACCAGTTACCAGCCACGACCAGTTACCCAGCCAAAAATTGCGCAATAAACGCTTTTTGGGCGGTTTGGAATTGTATTTTTCCTTTTTTGTACATTTCCATCGCTTTGAATAAGTGTGTGTGTGTGTGTGTGTGTGTGTGCTATCTATTGTATGGATTTTTTAATTTTTTGCCTGATTGCTTTATTACAGAGTCGCTATCGTCTGTGAACACCACGTTCTGGACACACCAAAACTTTCCCCAAATTGGTATGTGCTATACGAGTAGCTGTGGAGCAATTGGATTGCCTTCGTTTTTGGACAACATTCTTAGCCTTAATTGAAAACTAACAGTTTGTTAAGCCATCAAAAATGTAGCAAATAAGGCCGTCGTTGGTATTCATGATACCCATTGCTAGTAGTGTTCGAGGTGCCGCCATTATTGCAAATATTCTATTATTTATCTTTTGGATATAACACAGAAGTCATGTAGCAGAATCATTACTTGTGGGAACCCCTACACGGCCGAGGATGCACCTTTAACATAACATATTGGTATCATCCATCTCGTGAAAGATATCATCTGACAGTTCTGCTGTCAGCTGGTTTTTGCTGAGACAGGCATTTGAATATTTATTAAAGTATTACTATTGGTTAAATAATAAAATTTAGAAAAGTGTTGTACATATCAGAAATAGTTTACTTAATTTTGTAGCCCTAGTTCCAGCTATTTACCAAATTATATTTTGAATTTTTCGGAACTTCAGAGCGTTTTTAAAGCAGTTGATAGATTATCGCTAGCCACCTCCATGATCGGAGGCGATTTTGAGTGGGAGGCCTAAAGAGTTCTAAAAACGTTCAGCTGATCCTTTCACTGGTATAGGCAACCTTCAAGGATAAGCACTTTCCAGTGCAGATGTTGGACAATATATTATGTTGTAACTAATGTTAGGGTTCAAATTTCAACAGGCAAACAATTTAAGATGATGAAGAACGCTGTTAATGAGAGGTTTGCTGCCAATTTATCCAAAAATACTTTTTATTATGGTACTGGAACTTGAGCACCAATCACTGAATCCTAAAGAACAATGAAAACCAAACTGTCGGAAACGACTAATCAAACAGCTGATAACTGAAAAGATATCTTTAAAGAATGCGAAAGTGGCTAGGCAGCGTAAAAAGAGAGACTCATTACAAAGTAAACAAGTAATACACATTTCAATGTGGAGAAAATGATGGATGGATAATCCCACATGCACGAGAGGAAAATCCTATACTCGGGAATATTCTAATTTTTAAGCTTTTATTGCCTTTAAAGTCAGCTGCACACATTCTGCAACAAAAGACGTCAAAATATTCACAAAATAATGACGAAATAATGAAAAATATTTCGAAGAAATATGAGTGGCTTAGGGTAAGAAATTGTTAATTAATAAAACATATTCATGCCTAAGGGCGTTACATACCAACCAAACATACCAACAACAACTCGTTTGGTAACAAAAGAAGGGCAATGCATAAAAGTAGAGAACAAAATCCTTCCACTTCATTTCATGGCGTCAACATAATAAATCAACTTTTGCTACTTTGTCGGCGAATAGTGAATGGGCGAGCAAGCAAACGAAGTAGACAAATAATTTCCTGTCTAATTTTCAGCAACGTGCAGCAGCTGGCAACAAAAGTTTTCCATTGTAGTATGTATGCATGTGTTAGAGTGTAGGTGCGGCTCTGTGTGCTTGTGTGTGTAGTATGTGCTAGAAATAAATTATGAACTAACAATGTTGCCTTATAATGCATATTTTTTGGCTCGCGCCCATGTCCTCTATTGAATATACCCAAAGTATGCAACAACGGGTCTTCGAAAGCCAGCACCACGGTGCACATTGTTGCCCCTTATAATGAGATTATATGTAGGTGTGAGTGTGGGTGTGTCGGGAGGGTGTATGAGTGCTCTGCTTATTTATGATATACACATCAGTCTCGCAGCGCCGGCACATCAATTTTGACTGCCTTTTGAGCGCGTTGCTGGCATCCTTTTAATTTTGTGTTGCATACTTTGCATTCGCCACTTGACGTGACTGCGTTCTTGGTTGGCACTTAAAAGGAGCTGAGATCATAAATCTCATAGTCATATGTGTTTATTTCAAGTTTAATAATAATTATACGAAACTCTATTTTTTAAAAGCAACTCCAACTATAAATCATTTATGCATTCAATAGAGGAAAGTATTACTTCAAATTAAACCTCAACTACACTTTGAATATTGACAAAGAA